ATATATAAATTATCTTTTTTAAGATTTTTTTCTTATTACTAACCATAATGTATGGGGAAGTTGAAAAAAGGTATTGCAGTAACTATACACAGATTGTATCTATAATTATTTGTATGAGGGGATTAAATGCTGATCAGAAAATTTTGGCCAAATCAATAAATGCAGGCATGTGGAAAGACATGTGGATTGAAAAAAGTTAATAAATGCTGATCAGGGGATTTTGACCAAATTAATAAATGCTGAGGGTTTTTTTTTTTTTTTAAAATAAAAAAATTAGAAAATTAAGATTTTGATATTGATCTATCACAAGGCTTGTGGGTTAGAAATTCTATTTTTTTTTTTTTTTATATAATATGTAGATAAATAATAATAAAAAAAAACCCGTAGTTAATCAATACTTCATGTTTGAATGGAAGGAAGTGAATTTGCATGCTTGTAGCCAGTACAAGAATTTAGATTCTCTCCAGGGCAAAACAGAGTAGTAGCACTCAAAGAGTCATCAATCAGTTATTTTACATCTCAAGGATACACAATGGATGGGAACTGTAAAGAAACTCTTTGGAAATAGTGAATGAATTGATCATTAAGTTCTGATTTCAAAGAGGCTGATATATCACCATAAATTCACAATCCCAATAATGATTGTTAAATCCTTGGTGGCTAATCAAATACTCCTTCAACTCTTATTATAAATTCATACTACAATAGCATTATCAGCAGCGGTAGCAGCAGCAGCTATTTAGGTTGAGTTTGTGATTTTTAAGTTGAGTAGAAAATGGAATTGGACTTTTCTCAAAATTATAGTACTAACAAAGAAGAAGAGAGATGGATAAAACACTATAGCAGCTCTCAGAAGATATTGCTAGTTGGTGAGGGAGATTTTTCATTTGCTGCTTGCTTAGCCACTGCTTTTGGCTCTGCTCTCAACATGGTGGCTACCTCTCTTGACTCTCAAGGTATGTCTTAGGTTCACTACAATACCTAGCAGTTATACAGTGCCATTAGCGACATTCACTGACAATGTCACAAACACATTCTGACTCTTTGATTTTTGTGGGACTCACAAAAATTAATAGTCTGTGTTTGTGAAGATTTGAACTTTTTTCAAAAGCCAATATAGTCACAAGTTTTTATGATTCATCTCCATATATATATATATATATATTTATGAACAAGATGTTGAATATTGATTAACTGAGATATATACAAATACGAAAACGAAGAGTCTCTGATGATGAAGTACCCAACTGCGAGCGACAACTTGAAGCAATTACAGGACCTTGGTTGCACCATTTTACATGAAATTGATGGCACCACCATGAGCCTACACCCTCGACTTGGATTCCAGTTATTCGACAGAATTGTGTTTAATTTCCCTCACGCAGGATTCACTTTAAGTGAACACTCATCGATCCAAATTATGTAAGTTCTCTTCTAAACTAAAAAGTAATAGGGCCTCATGGTCACTAATCATTCCCTTTTTCTTTCATTGTTTGATATTCTGGTGTCCAAGGAGCGCAAAAACCAAATGCAGAACCCGACACAAAAAACACTTGAATAGACAACATTTTACAAGATTATTGACGGAACCTACATTTCAAAAAATTTATCTATTTAGTTCTGTATTTGGATTTTGTGTTCTATATTTATTTGTTTTAACATATGTTGAAAGTGAAACTATCAAGAGGACACTGAGATCATCTATTTCAAATTCCTTAATGCATTTTCAGGCTTCACCAGGATGTGGTGAAGGGCTTCTTGAGTAGCGCAAGTGGGATGTTGACAGACAATGGAGAAGTGCACGTGACGCACAAGACGGCTCACCCTTTCAATCTTTGGGAAATAGATAAGTTAGCAGAGGAGGTTGGTCTGTGCTTGGTTGAGGAAGCATGGTTCTCAAGATATGATTATCCAGGTTATGTAAACAAAAGAGGGGATGGGCATAGAAGCAATGATACTTTCCCAGTAGGAGCATGCACTACTTTCAAATTTGCAAAGCCATGAAGTGTGTGCTGGGACCAAGTGTGGTTTTGTTAGGTGAATCAGGCGTTTCTTCATTTGTTAGATGCTTGGGTTTGAGTTTTAGTGCTACGTTAGGTAGCTTTTCCATTCCGTCTATTCCCTTCATACAGTAATCGCTTTTGGCTACAAATGCCTTTTTGGAGAACATTAATGCACTGATTTTATTTGCCGCTCTTACTAATTGATATGATTGGTATAATTCTCTGTTCTCATTAAATTTTTGTGCAAGTGTGTGGGACAGAGACAATGACTTTTTTGGGTACAAAATTTTGTTGACAAAATTTTGATGATGTTACTATTAAATACACTTTTTAAAATAAAATAATTTTATAGTAAAATATTTATTTTTTTAGATGGAAATTTTGATTCCAAAATGATACTATTAATTCATTACTAAATGTTTAATTTTGTCGCTAAAAAATACAAAGATACTTTTGACAATAATCTTTAAATTTGTCTCAAAAACTTTAATTTGTTTTAGTGAGAATTAATAATGCATTCATTTTTTTTTATAGGTAGCTAAATCTATATATTACAGAAGGAAATTGAGATTTCTAACCTATAAGACATCCAAAAGCTCCAATATCCCAATCCAAATTTCTTAATTTTTTGATTTTTAAAAATTTAAATAATTTTCTATAGGCTAGCTCTCATTCAAGCAAAAAAATAAGAAAAATAAAAATTAATATCCCTTGGTTTATGACTTTCAAATCTAAAAAATTAAAAAGTATACTAATCTATTTCAAAATTCAAATTTGAGGACAACTAAATATGGAAAACAATCGATTAATATAAATTTAAAATTATAATGATTTATTTCATGATTTATTTAAGTTTTAAATATAATTTAAAATTATCATAATTAGTTCATGATTTTTTTATTAAGTAGCAATAAGAGTGACGTTGATCAAGTCACTCTTAAACTAGTGCTTGACATCATTAGATCAAGACTATCAGTCTGGAAGACGAAAGTGCTATCCTTTGCTGGAAGATTAACCTTGATCAAGTTTGTATTATTAAGCCTCCCTGTGTACTACCTTTCTCTCTTAAAGATACCTAAAAGTGTGACTCGTGAATTTGAAAAGATTGAAGCTGCTTTCTTGTAGGGTCGTAATGAACTAAAAAGAAAAGTTCATTTGGTGAAATGGACTGAGGTCACAAAGAGTTCAGCCTAGGGAGGTCTGGGTATTAGGAGGATTAGAGATGTGAATGTATGCCTACTTCTCAAATGGTAGTGGAAATTTGGGAATCAAATAAATGCACTATGGAGGAAAATTGTGTGCAGCAAATACAAAATTGAAGTACATAGTTGGCATCCTCCTGTCACTTCTTTTAACAAACACTCTAGGGTGTGGAAGGATATTTCATTCATTGGGTCTCAGAATAGTAACATCTTCAACTTCTTCCTAGGGAACTATAAAATCAAGGTCGGGAATGGCAGTAGAATCAAATTTTGGCATGATAGGTAGTGTGGTGTCTCTTGTTTTGAGGAGGTGTTCCCCTCTCTATTCAACCTTTCTATAGAAAAGAATGGTTCTCTCCAACATTTTTTTTGCTAGGAAAACTAGCAACTCTGATTGACACTTCCTTTATAGAAGAGTACTGTATGCTTGGGAGCTGGTTGATGAAGTGAGATTAATTGCTTTGTTATCCTCTGCTCCTTCCCTGAACCCAATTAGTGTTGATAGTCTGGTTTGGGATTCTGTATCTGCAGGTTCATGCTCTTTCTCAGTGTCTTCTCTATATTCCTTCAGCACTTCTCTTCATGGTCTTAATCTTAGTATTAGTAAATTCATTTGGAGTAACATTTTACCACCCAAAGTCCATTTCTTTGGGTGGCTGGCCTGGAAAAATAGAGTCAAAACTGCTGAGTTCTTGCAAAACCTTGGCATCCTTGTTATCTCTGCTTCCATCTGCTATTTTTCTGCAATTCTGCCCCTGAATCTGCTCAGCATATTTTACTCCATTGCCCATTCTCTTGGTCCATCTAGTCTCGTGTGTTGTTTGAATGGAGGCTTCAATAGTGCATCCCAGAATCAGTGGCACATCTCCTCAGCTGGTGGATGGGTGTCAAATTTAAGAGCCCTCTCAAGAAATTTTAGAGAGCTATTGCACTTGTAGTTCTATGGTCACTCTGGAAGCTTAGAAATGAATGTGTCTTCTCCAATGCTAATCTGAACCCAGCTAATATGTGGGATCTCATTAAGTTCAGATTAGCTTTTTGGCTTAAAAATTCTCTCAAGGACTTTCCTTTCTCAACGGTAGATGTTCTCAATTGGAGGCAAATCATTTGTTGCTATTAAGTCTGTATTTTGGCTTTTGGGTGATGTTTCAGATGCTTTCAGTAGGTCAATGTTCAATTGTGTCTTTCATGGTCTGTTGAAAGCCTCTAATTGCTGCCTTTGCTTGCCTGTCTGATCTGTTGATTACATTCATGCTGCCTCTGATGTGTTGATCTGCTGGATGAAGCTCTGCAATTCTGTGTTGATTATTGTTGCACTTGGTGCTTGGTTTGATTGAAGGGCTGCTGTAGTTTTAGGCAGTGTGCTTGAATTGTTTGTTGGGCTGTAGTAGTTCATGGAAGTGTTGACTATCTGAAGGGATGGTTGTCTTATTTACCTGATCTGGTTCTAATTGGATTGGTTAAATACAATGTGTAATCTAAGGAACTGGGTGTGTTTTTTGTAAAATGATTTGTTCTTCTCTACTATCTGTGGATATTTACAGTGCTATGGGTTGTGCTGATTTATAGCTGGGACAACTCTGCTATCTATCTGCTATCTATCTGTTATGCTGGTTTTGCTCTACTCCTGTGAAATTGGAAAACAATGGTGAGTGTAGACACCCCATTTTTGATCGCCCTTAAGACTTGGGCACTACTGATGGTTTACTTGGTGGAGAAAGGTGTGCAAGGCAAAGGTTCAGTTTCTTCGGCAAGGAGAGAGTCAAATCTCAACTTCACACCCCTTTTGGACCGAAACAATCTCGATCAAAAGATTTTGGACCTTGAAACCCTTTTTTTCAAAATGTTTTGAAAATAAAGTTCCTACGATGTTCCGACGCTCGCATTTCGTTCAATGTTGCGCTTTTCGATAAACCGAGCAAGGACAAAGTGGAAATGAATAAAAGAGAGATGAGATCTTTGAAAAATATTTCAAAACACCTTACTTAGGGGTTTGGAGTTGAAGAAAAGAAGAGACAGTTGGGGGAGAAAATGGGCATGAACCGTTAAGAGAGGGACGAGCAGTCCTCGCTGAATCAGGCCTATTCATTCGCATACTTGGATTTCAGATATGAAGCCACACCATTGGAAAGCTTACTTCTGGGGCTTCATTTTTCACTCAAGAATCTCCTAAATCCAAGTTCGGACGGGGGAGATATGGTTGATTGAAGTAGGGCATCACTCCGATTAGACCGAATCTGCGCGGCTTCACCAAAACAGGCATAACTTTTTGCACAGGAGGTATTTTGATGCAAGGCTGGTGCCATTAGAAAGCTAACTTTTGGGGCTTCAATTTGGACACCTATTCGACCACTTTTGGACTTCCCAATCACTGGCCGACCACATTTCTTTCCGGTAGACCAATTTTTTGTCCTAAAAAACCAGAAAAAGTAGCAGGCCGACCAGAAAAGGTGGTCGGACGACCACTTGAACCTTTTGACCTGGTCAGCAAACTAGGGAAGGTGGTCGGCCGACCACCTGAACTGGTCGGCCAGCTTTCTCCTTTTTTGTCTCAATGAGTTGAAGCCAGCTGTACCAGCTGGAAGTCTCAGAATGCATCCTCCATACACGTGTATGGAGGATGTTTAAGCTAACTTTTAAGCTTCTTGGAGAAGCTTTAGACTTTCTCCTCTATAAAGGAAAGGGCCCTCTTCCATTGCTAGGGTTCAGGACCTGTTTTGAGCATACATACACTTTCCCTCCATATCTCTATATTCCAAGCTCCAAAAACCCTTGTTCTTGGTTCCATTGCACTATACCTCCAAGCACAACACCTCCATTCTCAACCTAAGCACCTAGGGGCTGATTTTCAGAGGTTGAAGACTCACTATTTTGGTCTAGAAGCTGCTGGCCTTCTTCTCTTCAAGGGTAAGTCCCCATTTCTCCTATTTCGACATTGTTTTGCTCCATAGTTTAGCCCTATTTGCAAGCATTTTTGGGTTTCAACATAAACTGAAATTTTTTTTCTTTTGAGCTTATAAACATGTTTTCTTAAGGTCATTTTTCTATTAGGGGTCATCTACCTCCTTTCATGCTTCATTTCCTCATGTTTTGAGCTATGCATTTGAGCATTTGCATTGGCCTTGGTTTGGCCTTTTAGCCACTGAAATGGCTTAAATGTGTCTTTGAGCTTCAAAATCATAGAGGGGTGACCCTCTCACCCTTGTTCTCTTTACTAGCTTCGTCGGCCTTCCAAAGGGCCCCTTATTTGCATGTTTTGAAGTCATGTTTCAGGCCCTATTTGGTGAGTTTTAAGGTCTGCATAAGCTCTGTACAGAGCCCTTTTTACCATATTTTATGTCTATGATACATGTATAGAGCAATCCCATTCAAGGCCTTTCAAGGCCTTTCAAAGGGGCTTTCATTTGCATGCTTCATTGACCCATTCCAGGGCCTTTTTGGTGGGTTTTAAGACCCTCATAACCTATTTCCAGAGTTGGTTTTGCCATTTGGTGTGCCCATCATATAGGTGTGAAAAAACCCCTTGCATGGCCCTCCAAAGGAGCCTATCATTTTTGCATGCATTGACTGTGTTTCAATGGTTATTTGAGGATATTTTAGCATGGCATACTTCTATTTTTGGCTGGTTCGGTGAGCCCTCATGTGCTTCACATACTTGTAATGTAACTGACGGTTCACTAGCTTTCTTTGCATGCTTTGTTGACCCTTGATTCTAGCACATTTTGGCCATACCTTAAACTGATTTGGTGCATGTTTAGGACTGCCTTGGCTCTGTTTTCATGCCTCATGGTCAAATAAT